CTGCCATTACAGTGCCACCATACAACACAGTGCCTTTGTGGCTTGGACTTTGAAAACATCAAGGAGAAGAGAAAGCTCCTTGAGGAACTGAAGGAAAGAAGCAACAAAGGAATTCTGTTGATTCACCATAGCTAGAGAGCTGGGAGCTGAGACATTGCCCTATAAAGGTGAAAGGGTCTTTCAAGAAAGGCTCCTCTGGTGACTCCAGATCAAGGCACATACCTGGAAAACATCTGGAGCCACAAAAGGGACCCCATTCTGAAATGGTCTGCCATGACTGGTGAGTGTTTTCTTACTTTTTACTCTTAAGAGATGTGCAGAGTGTTCCAAATTTGGGAGCAGACTTCTGAACTGTGATCCATATAAGCTGTTTTTCAGGAATGAAAGACTACTAGTTGATAAAAACTGAATGTTTAGTCCCCCTCACTGCAGCTGCTTTATCATACACAGAACTGTAATCCCACACATCACTTTCAGGATCTGGTATATATTCGAAGATAAGATTGGCTCATGATAATATTACTAACTGAGTAATTATGGAAATAAGAAAATAATCCCTTTAGGTTTTGTTGTAATGACTTCTAAACATCTTGCATCACCATAGACAGACAGCAGCTTTCAGGATGCCATGTGTTATTGAAAGGAATGTGGAAAATCTTGTTTTGGTTGGTGTTGATGTCTCTAGTAAGGGAGGACACTGCATATCTTCACAGTAAAATTGAATTGGAGAGAAAAGCGTGTGATCTTTTTAAAAAGAGATAGCTAATCTTCCCTTGATCTCTTGTAGTCCTGTCTTTTGGGGCAACAGTAGAATGCATTCCTGACAACCACTCTTGATGAATCCCCTCACACTGTGACTCTGAGGGATTCTAACTGCAATTTTAAATGCAGTTAAATGTCTTAAATGAAATTCAGAACCTTGGTTCTGAATGAAAAGATAATGCAGACCTGGCAGCATAGTGCAGGTAACTTCATTGGAACATATTCTTTCCTCATATGTTATTGTTTTACTTATGTGAGAAGAGCTCCTGCAGTGATGAACGTGGCTGAATGTTGATCAGCAACCCTGTGATGTGTGCTTTGGACTCCAGCATTAAGAAATTAACAGGAAGACCCTCATATCACTGCTGAAGTATTCTAACCTCACTGCATAAAAATTAGTGGAAATGGAAATGAAAACACATGAATGTGCTTCCCTAGGAATATACTCTGTATTTTGCTTTATATTAGAGAGACTGCTGAGAGGAAGTATTCAATGAGTTTTCAAAAAAATAATGCAAAGGTAGAATTATTCCGGAAATTACTCTACTCTCTACTCTTTTCTTTTTAATGAACTCTTTTTTAGTATCAATAGACTATTTGGAAGACCTTTGCTTTCCAAACAAGATTTCACAAACAGCTTAAACTGTGGCACACAAGAGTCAAGCATCCATCTGTAGCTATGCTCCTTATTTATTCCTTGGAGGACTCCTGAATGTAATAGTAAACACAGGAAGGTGGGGGATTTGGAGCAAGGAACGCAGTTGTCTATCTATTTAATTTTCATGTCTCCAGAGAAAGAATTTCATTTCATTCCAATCTCATGCAAGAATTATGACAAGGTTTTTATAGTAGAAACTTTTCTAGAGGACAGATTTGGGTAGTGTTTGGTTCATTCATGCTACCTTAGCCAGTTAGCAAAACTGCTAAGGTGCATTTCATAGTATTCTGATACTGTTCATTGCCCTCATGACTGATGGATGGGAGTCATGACTCCAAGACTGCAAGAGGGCTCCTCAAGGCTTTTGAGTTTCCTGAGGCTCATCACCTGTGCTTCTCCCTTGCTCTTTTACTTTTCCTGCATATGCAATGACCTAGATCTAATGCTATTACTACCTGCATGGTGGATGGTGAGGCTTCACAAAAGTTCAATTAGTTGACGCTTGCCTTGAGAAATCATAGATTTCTGCTGAATGTTTGCTGCTAGAACACCTTGCTGGAGGGGCATTCAAATGCTGGTGACATGCAAATGTATTAATATGCAGTCTGTTCACTGTGCAAAAGCATCTCTGCTCAGAGGTAATATTACCAGATCGCTGCAGCACAGCTATTCCTGGACACCTTTAACTCAATCAGAAAGGGCAATCAGAAAGGTTTTGTTAGATGGTAACTGTTGTCCTCTATATCTGTGAGTATGGAGGAGATTTGCTAAGTAAAGCTAAGCAATGTAAATTTATTTTTTCACCATTACGGTCTCATATGGTGCGAAAGTGGGTGTCCCTTATCTGCCTTCCTTCCTCACCACAACTTGTACAGGCCACACCCTTATCTCTCCATCATTGCACTGGTGATGGTTGCCTTCACGTATTGCAGGTGCTGTCTGAACATATTACGCCACACAGCAGTGTTCACAGTGGTCAGCTGTGAGTGCCTGGCCAGCACTGCTGGATTTTCAGACCCTTAAAGACCAAGGCCTCACTGAAGACTTCCTGCGGGGCTTTGGCTTGTTTTTTTTTTTTTTTTTTTAACTCAAACGTACACACATACACTTGCACCCATTCTCTTTTTCTAGAGTGACCACAGTGGACCTCATTATCTTTTCCTCCCACCCAGTCATCCCTTCTGACATTCAATGTAGATGACACTACTCATATTTCATTTAGCCGAATCTTCTGAGGGAGGACATTCAGTGTATTTTCTAGGCTCTTTTGAAAATATAACAGCTCTTAGAGAGGAGCAGCATGTCTTTAGAGTACAGTGCCTTAATACTAGTACTGAGACTCATTAGTAAGTAAAATATTGTTGTATTCATTGGTCCACAAGGCAGTGACTACTGATATCAGTAAAACAAATGCCTGCTGTGTGCTAGACGGAAATGTCACCTTGCCTTGGGCTCAACGCTTCTCCTGAAAGCAGAATAGGTTGTCTCCCGAGTCTCTGTAGAAAAGGGATGTTGAGGGAGATTTTCTACCTGTTAGTGCTGAAATGCTAAGCCTCCTCAAGGTTAGTGATGAAATGCTAAACCTCCTCAAGGTCTCCCATTTAGCTATGAGCAGCGACAATCAGTGGAGTTATATGAAGGACCACTGATGAAACTCATGGCCATGTCTGAAAGCCAGAAGCAACTCAGTGCTCTGACACTCATTATTTACCATTTTCTCATGTTATATGCTGTATTTGGTCATGTTCAGTAACTCTGTAGTGATCAGACAAGATGAAACGGCAGCTTGTCAGCTGATTTAATTAAAACCACATTGCTTTTTTTTTTTTATTGCCTCTCACACATCATTAATATTCTGTCTAAGACGAGCCTGCAATGTAAAGATTGAAATCAGTCTCATTGTGCTCTTTCCAAGCTTGAATTCCCAAACACATAAACCTGGGTAAGAGTTTTAAAGGGACAGGTAATAGTTAGAAGCTAATTTGATTACATTGAAATGGACCCGTCATCATTGGTCCAAATAAATGCTTATTAAGGGACCGGTCTTTCAAGTTGCTTCTAAATGCAATGCAGGATTTGCTTCCATGGATGTGAGTGGGAATAGAATATATTTAGGATTTCCCAGGAGTCAAGTCTTTGCTCTGTAGACTCCTGTTCATTCAAAGGCTTGGTTATGCAAATATATTAAAAAGATTTGAGAAAATAACACTGCGCCCTTTTTACTTTGGTTTATTATTTACGTATTTAGCAACAGTGTTGCATCGTCCCTCTTCTGGAGTGCCAGGTTAAGATCCATTTCACAGTGACAGCATAAAAGCTAGTATATGCACTTGATTAACAAGCCAAATTAGCAGGAAAAAAAATCTAGCATTTCAAATTAGATGTAGCAGTTTATTTAAATAGCAATTAGCTTTCATCAACAGTATGTGCATTTTTGTTTTCCTTAAGAAACCCTGCCAGTCTCAATCACAGCTGCAGCCCTCCTGAAGCACTGTGTTACTCAGTGACTTGAACGGAGCTTTACAAACACTTTTGCAGCCAATTACCACATAGATTTCTTGTGTTTTCAAATTAAGGCATTTGGAGTCAACAACCACTGCTGAATAAAGGTAGAGCCTTGAGAACATTTTGCATAACAGTCATCAGTGTAGCTGATAGCTATTACAGGGTTCTTGTGCAGTAAGCCTACACAGATACTATCTCTCTTGTGTGTCTGTTCCAACATGCATCTCATTGCATTTGCAACCCTTTAATTAGTTGAAGCCCTTACTTCACTTTTCCATATGTCAAACAGCCTGCGTACACTTCCATATTTTTAATCAGTAGCCTGTTGTCTTTACTTTGTCATTCGCACTAGCATATAAATCTGCCCTTCTTATGATCTTCACTGCTTGGTAGAAGTAAAAACATGCTGTTTAATTTCCCTGTTCACAGATTTCCATTTGTTTCATGTACAAATGCTGGCTCTTTCCCCCCTTTTGGGCATGCTGTGAGCATTAAACTTAGTGATCAAATGCCAAAAAAGCAGTCCCTTTCCCCTTCCACCCACAAAGGGGTCATCCTAACCCTTGCTTGGATGCTTACCTTAACGGACTGCTCTGTGCATGTGCAGTCAGTCTAAATGGGTTGACTGCATTGAACTTCCAGAGGCTGGCATAGCTTAGTTAATAAAACAGGTGCAGAACTTATGTGCTCTCTTAGGGGTGTAACTGCCTTTTTCCTCTCCTCTCCTCTCCTCTCCTCTCCTCTCCTCTCCTCTCCTCTCCTCTCCTCTCCTCTCCTCTCCTCTCCTCTCCTCTCCTCTCCTCTCCTCTCCTCTCCTCTCCTCTCCTCTCCTCTCCTCTCCTCTCCTCTCCTCTCCTCTCCTCTCCTCTCCTCTCCTCTCCTCTCCTCTCCCCTTCCCTTCCCTTCCCTTCCCTTCCCTTCCCTTTCATTTCCTTTCCCTGTTTCTTCTCATTTTTATTTAATCTACTACAGCAGAATAGTTCATTTTACCAACAACACATCTGAACCTGAGACAAGACTTAAAAATAACTGGACCTAAAGGGAGAGACTGTGGCATGTGGTTATCCTCTTGCTTTTAATTTTTCTGGTTGCTGGGGGCAGAATCCAAGGCTGTCTGTTTTCTGACAGGTGTGGTGGCTGGCCCTGGCATCTCTGTCCGTGGCTGATCCCCAAGCTGAACCTGGAGCGCATTAAGGATGTCATCTAGCTTCTGGTCCATCTGCAGCACCTGTTAAGGAATTAGAAAGCACATGAGCAGTCAAATAGTTGTGCATGCTTCTTGTGAAAGACATTCACTGGTGAAAAGTTTAGGAGATATGTGAGGGTTAAACCTTGGCAGTTGGCATTGGCATCTTCAGGTCCTGAGCACCACAAGTCTTTCAAGTTTTATCAGGTCGCTTGCAACAGCTAGTGGCAAGGTCAAAATGTGCTGTGAAGTCACCAGGAAGGGTGTAAAATAGTGCTAAGTGACTGCAGAAGGACAGGAGGTTTCTGGCCCTAGCATTGACCCCTGGAGTCAGACATTTTGTCTCTCAACATTTTCCCAGTGTTGCCAGCTTCTCTCAGTGATGATGTATGCTGCAAACATCTGCTCCAAGACTCTATTTCACTCTTTGTTTTATCATGAGTATTTTTTCCCATTACCTCTCCCCAGACTTCACCACCCTCAGCTTTAGGACATCATGATTTCCATTACTGTCTTGGAAAACTAAACAGATTTCTTCCCTTCACACCGTAAATAAATTCCTCTGTGATACATGTTATTGCCAGAGATCCTACCAGATATGATGTTTATTCCAATGCAATGATAGAAGGATGGCCTACTAAAAACCACATTGTAACACCAAGGACTTCAAAAGAAAAGAACACTCTTAAAAAACTATAAGAACATTGACAGGCTAAACTCTTCTCATTTTATTGCTTTACGGGAGAAATTTCTCATGCATAGTCTCTAGTCAGATAAATATTTATTGTTATCATTAGTTATCTTTTTTTTTTTTTTTTTTTTTTTTTTAAGATGTATATTAGGTATCTCATATCTCCTATTACTTTAAAAACACCCTGACTTCTGTCTAGGGAGCCTAAGCAGACATTATTCCATTGCTGTAGTACGGCTTGTATCCACTGCAGAATGGCATCCTGTTAAAGGTTGTGTCAATCAGGAAGACAGGTTGCTGAGTGTTGACTGCTCTAGTTTGCTCTAAAGGCAAAAATGTGGTCAGCATCATGTAAGCAACTGGGATTCCTCATAATAATGCTTGAATACAGTGCCACTTGGTGTAATAGATGAGCCCAACGAAAATGAGTATTTTTAAGAACATTGGATGGTTCACTTTTCAGTTACCTGCTGTGAAACTCTGAGCCTATCAAAACTCTGATCTGTCCCAGTGGGTCTAATAAACTTTTAGCAAACCTTTTAAAGCGATATCAGATCTAAACTGAGCTTTCATTAAATAGAGAGAGAGAGAAAGAGAAGGATTCTAGCCTTTTTCTGTGCAAAGTAACTTTGGAAATAACCAGTGGCAGCATGATTGAAAGTTTAGCAGGCTAAAATTGCTTTAAAAAACAAGGAAAAGAAAATCACCTTATCGCTTTCCCTTCCTCTACATTTTCTCATTCCAAATGTCTGCTCTCCTGGGGGCACCCAAACCTCAAGGTACCAAGATCTCATTCAAGCTATATCATTTTGGCAACCATTGTTCCCTCTGATATACAACCTTCTGCCAGCTGGGGAAAGGAGGAGTGGAGTACTTCTCCTTCATGAAGGGAAACATGTGCTTGTCTTTCTTTCAAAAACTTTTCTCTCTTGAAAACAAGATTTCAATTTTGTCTTCATTACTGCTGTGTTCTAATAGAAAAGTCCCTCTCCCGGCTTCTGATACAGTGTGGATCACCTAAGGGTGAGGGTTATCTTAGAAAGAATTTTCAGGCAATAAAGAGGAATTATTTATGGCATGGTTTAGACAGTGTAGCTCTCCACTATTATTTTTGCCTGCGTAGTTTTGACTACATTCAGGATAGAGTGGGCACTGTCTATGCGGTAACAAGGGCAGGGTGGGCAATGCATGCATGTGTTGGAGAATCAGGGCCATTTCCTATAGCACTGGCTGTGTTTGCAGCCATTAGTGCCAGTCCTGGTGTACGATGAGTCACAGTCTAAAAGCAGCTCATACACACATATATATATATATGTATATATAATTACAGTCTTCAGTTCAGAACAACTCTGAACAGGCTGTCAGAGGTCTAGTTGCCTCCTAATCAGCATTAGGGCACACCAGTAGTGGCCCCCGGCTTTTCTCTTGTTTAAGAGCTATGAGGATGAGCATGGGTGAGGTTGTCTGGGCAAGTCTCACTCTCTCTCTACTATGGCCGCTGACAGAAAGCAGTCCTTTTCTCATTTCTTGGTCCAATGACAGTGAAAGGGTATGGGGGCATTGCACCTGCCTCATTTTTCTCCCTCTTGCTCTCCTCATCTCTTTTTCTAAGTTGCTCTGCTTCCCTCCTGATATCATCAAAGATCTTCACTGAAGAGTGGGGCTTGGCTAAGAGGGAAAACCTGGGCAATCATATCCTTTTTCTGAACAGCTCATTCTTGAAGAAGTGTGATACCCCAGTGCTAGACACATGTGTGAGAGATGTTTCCAATGTATGGGGAAAGGAAGGGCAACTGCTTGTGCTGCTTGACTTTGTTGGAAAGCTGAAAGTTACTAGTAATTTAAGGGTTAAGTAGCATGGAACTAAATTAAAAACCACAGCCTTTATTTTCTCCTCCATTCTTGAAAAGCCTGTTTGGCTGATGCTGGTAATGACTCAACAGAATCTTTCTTCAGCAGAAACGTCCAGAGAGAAACTAAAGCAGAACAAATACATCAGAGTAAAAGAGGTGTAGGCAGGGAAATGGGGTCAGGCAGATGAAAGATCTCTTAGGGCTTTCTTTTGTGAGGCTTTGTTGATTTTGATTTGCAAGCTTGATCTTAGATAAATTATGCCTATATGTTCTATGTCATTTAAACTTGCTGCATTTCTCTATATTTTGCAAACTCAGTGAGAAAATACAATAGGGAATAATTTTATGCAGTTTTCTTTCAAGGAGAGGAGAGGGGTGGAGAATGTAAATATTCATTTGTAGAGGAGAAAAAAGAAAAACATACAAGGGAAGAAATGGGACATTCTGCACTTTGATCATGCCTTTCATGCAGAGATATGCAAAAGTTTCCTGGACATTAACAAATGAAGTTGCACAGTTCTTCTGTGTCAGCTAGACGCACAGGAGCATTTTAATGTTCATTTTTGAGAACGGAAGTAGAATCCTGCAAAACGAAGTCTGCATGAAGTGTCAGATCACTTTTAGTCCTTAGCTTTCTCTTTTACATACACGATCAAGATACCACCTTCTGGCTTCAGACACTTTACCATGCATCTAACTTTGACCATGCAAGTAACCTGGTATTATGTTCAGCTGGACAGACTCATTCTTAAGTAGCTTATAAAATTGGAGCCGATATAAAAGTGGGACAATTTTGATGGCTAGTTAACCACAATTAAAGGGTCACAAAGCAAGAGCTGTGAAAACTTTAAGGTTTCACTGAAGTCAGGAGGATGTCTTGCAGGATTAAAGGACTTTTCACATGGTAAAGGCTTTACAGAAGAAAGTCCTAATTTTATATTTGTCATTTAAGCAGGTACTACATTCCTTAAGTCTTTTTGCAAAGCTGTCAGCTTTTGACAAGCTGTCAGTGTCGAGTAACATATCCAGGCAAGCAAACAGGTAAAGGGTTAAATTTTGCAAAGTGTTTCTCAGCTGAGTAAAGTGAGAAGCCATCTGGGCCAGCCACAGAGTTTCCAGAGAGATGTGATATGTCCCTCGCAGGCTCCTTGGAGACAGGTGAGTTTGGCAGCTGTCCACAGCCAAATGGAAACAAAACTTCTGTTCTCCCACATCACAAAAGAGCTCTAGAGACAATCTATAAAATTGTTAAAATGCTTTTATATCCTTTCAACCCCCCTGCAGAAAGGAGATGGCAAAAGCAGTTTAAAATATTACTCTGTTATTATTGGGACTATGAGGTGAGCTGAAGGACTGTTGAAATGTACATTCATTATAACATCCCCCTTAGAAAGAGGCTGGATCCCATGGTGACATGCAGAGATGTTACACAAAGAAAATGACTCTGTGAGTCACAACAAGCCATGTAGGGGACCTGGGTCAGGCAACCAGTGGGACTCGGCATGTCCCTGCTCTTAACCATGAGCACCAGTTTTGCTTTTGGGATTTGTGATTGCTTTTAAGTCTGTATCTGTTAAAACCTGGGCCCAGCCCCTTATTTAAATAACTCATTTTAAGTGTGTTCCTGTTACAAAAACTTTTTGTGGAGAAGAGGACTCAAAGAATGGCAGAAGCAGAGAGGACTGGATTGTCTTATAGATTTGCAACAGGCTGGCAGATTTCCAACTCCCCCAAGAGCTTTTTGACATGTTTTTGTAGGCACACTCTATAAACAAAATGCATGTGTAGAAAACTCAGTTGGAGTAATCACACGATCTCTCCCAAGCCCTCTAATTTTAAACTAGACAACTCTCTCCCCCCAGGTTGTGTCTTTCTTCTTATTATTATTTCTGGAGGCTAGGAAAGACAGTATCAATTATGTGCACAGCACACTGACTTGAACTGTTTCCAGAGCAGTAGCAAAAGGAAAGACGGTCTGAAGCAACTTCGTAAGTAAATCCAAGAATATGCTCATCTGTTGCTAAGTAGGTAGAGCTTTGTATCAAAAACTAGACCCTATAAATCAAATAAAGTTGCTGTCCCCTCTTTGAGACTGGGCTCTCTTCCTGCCTTTAGAGGTTCTGCATGAACAATCCAAATGTACAGCCCTCATTCAGTTGTCTGAGCTGCACAGCCTTCGTGCAGTTGTCTGACACATGTCTAGAGCACTGCAAACCTCATCCTGCAACCAACTGCAGACTTGAGCGCAGATGGCACCAAAGCACAGCAGGCATCAGGAGGGGAAGAAGGCACTTCCAAGTTCACAGCAAGGTGTTACATCGATCTGGCACAACATCTTCAGGGCCAGAGCTGTCCTAGCTGCTGTCCCAGCACATATGAACACAACATCCCAATCTCAGATTTCCTTCAGCACCAGGAGCAAAAGCTCAGTCCTCCAAACACTATTTCGGTAGCCCGCCTCTGAGATCACAGGCTTAACACCCAAGACATAAGACATT